ATTAAAGTCAACAAATGTTATTGGTACGTTCCGTGGTTGCATACATTTGTTGTCTTGAAAGCATTTGCAGAGAGCTCAAAGGAAGCGTCCATGAATTTGTGAGCAGACCCAAAACGAGTTGTTATAATTCTGTTTTATTACAAATCGATCTCCTGTCGTAAAGGGTTGAGCTGACTGTGTAACCTCCTAGTGTCACAGACACCTTCACCTGCAGCTGTCTCCTCGCCCACGCCGACGCGAGCCTGGCGTACGTGCGGAGTGAGGGTCGCAGACTGCCGGGGAATCAGCCGCGCTGCCGCTCCGTCCGCTTGGCAGCGGCTCGGTTCTTCAGGCTCAGGGCTTTTATCCACTTACAAAGGACGGCGGGAACAGAACCGTTTTTCACTGGAGAGAGAACGCAGTTCGGATCCCAAAGCATACTGGCAAGTCAGTTTTTTTATTTCCCTGAAATTTTGTCCAAAAGAGGGGAAAAAGAGTAAAGTTCAATAAGCTTTAGAAGGGGAAATTTTCTTACTTTTTTTCCGTAGTGGCCTCCTGAAATACTTTTTATGATAAAATGTGCTACAAGATCCAGATCGAAACTAGATATTTTTATTTTTACAATATAAACGCTTGGTTCAGCCTGGGATTGTTTTCACAGAGAATTTAAATTTCTTGAGTGAAAATAGGATGAGTTTTGCAGCTTTCCACCATCTAGAATTTCCATTCTTTCTCTGAAGATGTTTCTGGTATTTCAGTAGAATCGTGGATTTATTTTGATTAGCAGCTCACAGTAGCATCTGTTTCTGGTCCTTAGTGTCAAGATTGTCACTGGTTTCAGTGGAAGCATGGTGAGTTTTGCAGAGCATCAACATAGGTTAACAATCCCAGGAGTGATCTGAAGCCCAGATCTCAGCTGCATTTGGAATTACTTCCTATGTCGTAACTGATGGCTGTGGTGTTTTTGAGGATTCGGGGCATTCCAAGCCGTGCAGTGACAGCTACAAGATGCCACCAGAAGGGTGGCTGGGATGGATGGGCAGTGGTGAGAGGAGGTGCAGCGTGTCGCAGCCCGTGTACCCGTAACACAGGTCATTGGTGTGTTCCTGTAGGCACTCGCAGCTCGGGGCACAGCTGAGTTTCTCCCCAGGTACCGCCTGAGGCAGAGCCCTGGTGTGCTCTCAGAGAAAAGTCCTCTGAGCACCAATGATCTGGTGTCACACCTGGTTTCCGTGCTGTTCCTGCACCGCAGTGCAGGCAGAGAAGAGTAGAGACTGATGGAAGAGTTGCCTTTACGGAATTCCATAGGGAAAGGTACAGCATCCGGAATGCTGGTAGCCCTTACAACACTTCCAAGCTGGTTTCAGGGTCCAATTCTCTCTCTGACAGGACCGATGCGTTTCAGACCGTTCAACCCCGACCGTTCATTAGCGTCACTGTTTTTAACGGAACATGCGTGTCGTGAATCAGCAGATGGAAACCGCGGCGCCAGACGCTGTTTGTGTTCGCAGCAGCCGTGTGCATCCAGGTAGATTCTCCGAGACCCTGTAGAGCGGTATGTTGCCGTGCCTGCGTGGCACGTGCTTCTCAGAGGAGTAACCTGCCCTCGCTACGCACGGCTGTGGCGTTGTCGTCACCCAGGTGTCTCCTGATGTTTTATTTATAAGCTCAGCTCTTTTCTGTCTTCATTAAGTTGTCCGAGATTTCCCGTCACGACTTCCGCACTTGCTTTTTGCGTGTTGTTACGCCGCCTAAAGCATGTGTGCGGTCGCAGCCAGGGGGTAGTCCCAAACTTCACCATTACCACGGAACCGGTAACGTGTGTTAGAAGTGAGCCCCCCTCATCCAGAAACCTGAGCAACGTTTCCTGGTAGAGGAGAGTCAGCAGGAGTTTGGGGGCAGAATTCACCCCATGTCGGTCAGGTTTGGGTGCCCAGGTCCTGGCTAATGCCTGTCGGTGCCAGCGGAAGCAGGTTTTGACCCGCTTTGTCTCCATCGGTACGAGGCCAGAGTGGGATTTGGGGCTGTATTTGCTAAATCAGCCGAAAGCAGCACCAGGGATCCGTCTGCCTTTAAGAGATCAGAATCTGCTTCTCCCAACACTTTCTTTTGCAGCGAAGTTTCAGAGCAGTCAGGAGGTTCTCCACACTCCGATGGTTTTCGAATTGTTTTCTTTTTCCTTTCTTAATCTTTCCAGTCTGTGCTCTTAAAAGTTAAAATAAAATAAAACCGGAAATTTAATTTGGGAGCCGCTTCATGTTTTCTGAAACAGGAACTCCCAGGGGAAGGACACAGCAGCTGTTGGACAGCCTACGACGGGAGTACACCGCTTTTTTCTGCAAGAGTTGCCAAATCTGTCACTGCTAGTTCAAGGTCACGAAAGAGGTTGTAGCACTAGCCAATGTCTGATTTTTATTTCCTTTTCTGATAGTCTGCCGAGGATTTAGTAGCATTCCCAACACGTATGATTTCTAAACTTTTTCCAAGACATGATGCAGCCTCAGCAGAGGAGCTCGTGTAGGATTTCTAGAGTTAGATAACATATATGTAAATAATGCTTTGATATTAATAAAACTGCCTTAAAGGAATGTACCTGGGTGTGAAACAAAAAGCTCTTATTTAAAACTGTAATGTCCTTTACATATTGATTTTTGTAATGTTTGCCATTGTATACATTTATTAATGATGTTATTAAAATGCCAAACCAAATAATTTTTATTCTGATGTTGTGTGTACGTTTATACACACTTTTTCTGGAAACCGATGTTACTGGAAGGATGATGTTGGTGTTGAGTAACGGCGTTGTGGTCAGTTGGTGATGTGTTCAGTGAATATTTCTTCCGGAAAGAAACCGATAAAACTGTAGCAGAATTTTTCTGGACAGTGTGCAGTTTGTTTTGTGGTGTTTATTTGCTTAGACCTCTGTAGCTTTTAACTATACGTTATTTTGATATTATTTGGGGAGGGGAAAAAAAAAGACACTAATTTCCTAAGTAAATACAAAAAGAAATCATTACAGATTTGCCAAATGCAGTATTTGAAGCTTTGATTTTTGCTGAGACAAGTCCCCGAATCTCTTCTGAGGACGAAGGTGGGTTTTAGGTAGTTCAGATTTTCAGATCCGCGAAGCACAGCAAACTGCTGTTGCACACGTGTCTTTAAAAGAACTTTCCACGTTTAAAGCTTTCTGGATTAAAAAAATTTGACAAGTCAACTTTATTCTGATTTTTTTTTTTTTTTAAGTGATAGAGCATTTTGGGGTACCACAAAGAAGAAACCTTAAAGGGAAGGGAGAGTGAGCAGCAGGCAGAGGGTAAGAAATTTTCCTTTCCAAGACACCCAAGACTGTATCTTAGTATCTGCCTGTTTTAGGAACGCGTGTGCCAATCCCGAGTTCTCCAGGTAGGTCACTGACCAGCCCAGTATTCCCAAACATCAGATGTCCCTGTCAGTCTTCTAATGAACAACAAATACAAGATCTGGATGCCTTTCTGGTGGCTCTTACTGTAGGTTTCTAGTCGTTCAATGTTTTTAGGTCACTCCTTCCCCATTTGAGACTGCCGTGATAGACGGGGGTGGTTTGTGTCTTTCTGAGTGTCATGAAGCACTCGGTCGTTAAGTTCCAGTCCTTGCCACATCCTTCAGAAGGGAAGGAAACCGTGGTAAGGATCTTCGTGAAGTAACTGGCCTTGCCCTAGAACATGCTTTTTCTTACTCAGTTCATGGTAGTTCGTTCTGTAGAATTAAAGATTTCACTTCTTTAATAGGAAACACCTGCCAGACACACCAATGTTGATGTTCTCCTAGAACTGGCTTGGCCATCCAGAGTGAAACTGAGTCAAAATGGCTGATTTTTTGCCTTGTGTTTCTTTTGAAGTGTTCCCATTATCCCTGTGAGCGTTGCATCCTTCAGTGTGGTGCAGCAGCAAATAGTCGTTGAAGGTCACTGGTCCTTTTAGGTGGTTTTTCTTCACCCTTCGTGTGCTTTATTCCATTCTGTCCCGACTCTCGTTCATGCCGTCGCTCGCCTTTAGGCGCAGTCCGTACATGACACTCTTTCCTTAGGCTGTGTTCAAAAGCCCTTTTCCCCTCATTTTCAGATTCTGTCCCTCACTTTCACTGTTGCCAGCGTCGGGTTTTGGGTGGGTTCTCGTTGCCGCAGGATGTTTACTGGACTTTGTGGAGTTTGCTGCTTCTCTCTTCAACACAACATCTGTTGGAAGGGGGTTTATTCATACGGACAGGAGAGGAGAAGGAATTAGATTAGAAATTTCATGTCGAGACTGTTCTGGTCTTGTCCTTGTGATAGTAATACTTTTCTATACGAAATATCTATCGTCTAGTGAAAGCCAGATCAGCCTCTGCTGAGGTTAACTCACCTGTCCTCCCAGGTGTCACCAGGACATAGTAGACCTGGTCAGGAACCTGCAGTGACACTGTTCCTTCTGCCAGGAGAGGGGCTGTTCCCCCCCCCGCCGTGTCTGCTGGCAGAGGTGGCTCCCTCGTGTGCGGCCATTTCTGGATCAATCAGCTCAAGAAATGGCGATTCCCAGACTTCCCAACATTTCCCAAGGGGAGGATACCGTGAAAGTGAAAATGCAACTAAAACCGTAGACAATCAAATGCATTTTTGTAGTGTAGCGAAGTTGGGCTTTTTTCTAAGTAAAAATAATAAAAAGAAAGCAACGTGTAGTAGCAGATAAATCGGGTACAGGTACACAATTTGGACATCCCTGTCCTGTGTGTACCGACAAGTATTTTAGAACTTCTAAGTTAATTTGTTATTTCTTAATGATGTTAAGTTTAAACCTTCACGTTTACCACAAAGTTCCAGTTTTCTCCATTTTATTAATAAACAGTATATTCAAATAATGCCTTTTCTACTTACTGGTTACTCAGTGGTAGATTGCAAACATGTCTTGTCTTTTTAAAAACATTCTGTTAAACTCTTAATAACCCAAAGACAGTATTTTTTCTCACCGGATGATACAATATAAACTTACACAATAGGAGTAAGCCTGTTTTTTCAAATTTTGTTTGTAATGAGACCTTCACCAGTTCTGCTCTACAAAAATCCATGCCAAGTAACAGAAAAGTGAACTTCATCTAGTTATTGCCTTCATCGAAACGTATGATGATGGGATCATGGCCTGTTGATCTCACAAACTTCAGGAAGTCGTCGGGGCTTAAGCCCATGGTTGCAGAATTTGTCATTGGATGAAAATACACCTTTTCGTGGCCACCTTCCAGAAAGCCGGCATCCAGCACAAACCTCACGTCTCCCTGGTCACAGAAGAGGGCGAGGGGTGTCGCGCAGCCCTGGCCCACTTTTAGCTTTTCCAACATGGCGCTTGCATCAGCAAACCTCAGGTTTCCACTTCCAACACCCAGTTTTTTAGCGAGGTCGTTCAGATTGATTTGCCTGTCGTGCAGAACAGTCACCAGCCAGAACCCTTTCTTCTTTTTGTCTTTAAGGAAAAGGTTTTTACTGTGACCCCCTTTCATGTGCTGGACATGGGGCATCATTTCTTCAACAGTGAACACCTGGAAAACATGATCAGTGTAGTGTGAGACTCTATCCCATCAGACTTTGAGTCGCGTACTGGCAGGGTATCTTTTGTTAAACAGTTTGAAAATACTGAATGTTAACTCAGCCTAAAAACTGTACTCTTTTATGAAGAAATTTTAAGAGAACACAAATAAAATGTGACATATTGTTCCTGCATGCTGTCCCAATCACTTGTGTCTCATGCACGCTGCAAGAATATCACACTTTAAAAATGCAAGAAAGGCAGCCCTGACAGCACTCCCTTTTTGTGGGTCCACCAGCTAGACTGGAGTGATGCAGTGCGTGCGCTTTTAACTGGGAGTGAGGAAAAAGTCTGGAAAGCATCCTAGACGCTGGTGATTTCATGGTGAAGAACTGGATGGCCTTTAGCTCCTGAAACTGCCGCGGAACTAGAGGAGAAAGGGGGCATCTGGGGGACAGAAACACAGAGAGGGAACAACCCGCAGCAGAGTTCAAAACAGCCCAAAAACCTCCTTCACGGCCCAGCATCTGTGGGTCTATTTAGCGAAAAATTAAAAAAAAACCCCAAACTTTTAGCGAAAAGTCTGATGCTTTCTATGCTCATTATGCTAAAAACCCACATATGCCTGAACGCGCCCTGTAGCTCGTTCTGGCCTCTCCGTATGCAGAATTTCATTTCCTGATTTAAAAACAATCCGGAGGATGCCACGGGGCAGCGCGGCCCGCGCAGCCTGCTCCGAAGGGACTGGGGGGAGCGACGGCGGCCCCTACCTCGGGGGGCTCGGCGGTGACCGTGGCGAGGGCCAAGT